CCGGAGTTTGGAAATCTCCACGTCTCCCCTTGAACCAAATAAACTCCGTGAGTGCAACGATGGGCACCCGTTTTTATACTTCCTTTGAAAAACAGCTTACTAAATGAAAAACTTTGGGAGCTCTGGTAGCATAGTGCCTAAGGCACTTGACAGCTAACCAGGAGGCTTTCAAACCAGAAATTTTAATAAAACCAGGATTTAAAACAAGCAGGTTAATACAAGACCTGAATTTTTCTGAACGCTTACTCTGGCTGCAGTATGAAAACAGATTTAAAAGGTGCCAAACTGGATGTGAGAAAACCAAATAAAAAGCTATTGTAGGGCTACAAGAGAGATGCTTAAACTAGAATTGTGTGGAAATGGAGCAGAGGCTAACTTCCTTGATCTTTTGGAGGTGAAACAGTCTGAAATTGGTGATAAATTAATTTGAGGTCAAGTGAGAAGGAACCAAGATAATTGCTTGAAGAATTTCTCTCAGAAAGATCAGCACAAGGCCAGTCCCCATGAGGCAGAGGTTAAAGATGTCTCAAATGTCCAAACTACCGGGCCACTCCATCATTTTAGACATTAACTACTCCTCCTCTTCCCAGTAATCTCCCCCGTCTTAGGGTTCTTTATTTTGCTGTAACACCTCACAGAACTCACGGACACCCAAGGGATAGTCTCACGTAGTAGTGGTGGAGGCTGGCAGGCTGGTGAGTCCCAGGTCTGTGAGTAGGTCTGGCGGATCCTCCCAATTCTTGGGGTTTGATGAACCTTGATCAGTAGATCGGATGACAGCTGCTGTCCCAAATCCAGGGGTGAGATGAGGATGATCCAAGACACAAAGCCGGAGCAAGAGGAAGGCGAACCCTCCCGGGAGATTCATAGGTATACACTCAAGGAAGCTAGGGGTGGTGATTTGAATCACACTCTCCAGTGAGGCAGGACTCAAGATACACTTCACCTGTGTTGCCCCAAGAGAAATAACCTAAGTGGATGGCTTTAACAATCAGCAGCTCAAGGCAAATCCCATCACAGAGCCAGTCATTACAGGGAAGGACTACTACCAGCTGCCCAGCCAAGTTAATACTTGACCTTAACTACCACACCACCCCAAACAGGCATGCATAAGAGGATTTACAATACATCACAGAATGGAGGACAATGGCTGGAAGGGCCACATCAAGCAATTCACCACAATAATGAACAAGTTCTAGACTTTGGCATCTGTATAGTATGGCTGATGGTGTCATTCACTATGATTGTAGAATAATGGTACTACTAGTTACCTCCTGATCAAAAGACTCAAAGTGCTTTGCTTCCCAAAGGGCAAAATGAGTAAAGAAAGGATGGGAACCTCAAAGTGACGGGCTGAATTCAGCAAAGAAAAAAAAGGGGCAAAAATCCAAAGGTGCTGTGGAGGAGACACAAAGCAGGGAGTATCCTAACTAAAGAAAAAGTAAGATTCCAAAACTTTATGTTGATAACTGATGACCCTGGACACTGCCAACTCTGTCTGCCAGGTCCTTGTACAGAATGTTTTCACATTATTTGAGGTTGAATGACTGATCAGGGAGCAAGGAATATTTTAGCAAAATAACCATTCCATTTTGCTTTAAAAACCCACTGCCATGGAGTAGATTCCAACCCATAGCCACCCTATAGGATAGAGAACTGCCCCAGAGGGTTCCCAAGGCTGTAAATCTTTACAGAAGCATACTGCCTCATCTGTCTCCCACAGAGTGGCTGGTGGGTTTGAACCACCTACCTTTTTGGTTAGTAGCCAAATACTTAACCACTTCACAACCAAGGCTTCTTCCATTTCACTTAGTATCAAAATTTTATTATCGGTAATAATTTTGAAATAAGTTAATGTCAAAGTACTTTACCAACATTTTTACTTTAGGAGAACATCTCTTTGAGTACATCGAGAATCAAAGGTTCAAAAAAAAAACAAACTCACTGCCATCGAGTCGGATCCAATTCATAGCGACCCCTTCTTGGGTTTCCAAGGAGGTATCTCTATGGAAGTAGATTGCCCAATCTTCTGAGGAGTAGCTGGTGGGTTTGAATGGCCAGCCTTCTGGTTAGCAGTCAAATGCCTTAGGCACTATGCCACCAGTGCTCCCAGAATCAAAGGTTAGGGATCTGGAAAAGACATATTTAGATCACCTGGACTACACTGGTCGCAGTTACCAACCAGCTTCACGGACGAGGCAACCAAAAGCAACTAAAGTCCTAGGAAGTTTGTCTTAAGTCATGTGGTAAAAGGTTTGCTTGGCATACTAGAAATTTCCTGCCTCCTACGCTTTTTACCATTCAAATATATTCCCTCCTCTCAAGTCATTTCATGTACACACACCCACCCCCCAAGTGATTGCATATATCTAGAGAACACAGATAACACTGCCTACTGTACTCAATTCTTTAATGTGGGATTTAAGATTTTTTCCCCACAGTAATACTTTTAATAAAAAACAAAAATAGCAAAATAATCATTTACAAATGACTACTTTTCTGCTGGATATGTTAACATCTATTGCTGCATAAAAACCACTTGGAAATTAGCTATTTAGATGCCTAGTTGAAATACATATTTTAAAAAAATTTTTTTATTGTGACTTGGGTGAGTTAATTTTCCATACGGTTCACACATTTTGTCTCATGACATTGACTACAATCCCGTTAAAGCTCTCTTCCCACTTCCTCCCCTTAGTTACCTCTTCCCTGTGTCCTTCCCTCCCATGCACATATGTATTTTTTAAAAGATTTTTGATTGTTTCTTAAAACATTAGATTTTGTGGAAGTGTCTCAGGAAGCTTGATTAAAAGTGAGATGAAGGCTCAACAGTAGCCCTTTGGGCCCTAACCCTGCTTCCACTAAAAATATACAAATGGAGCTGGTCTCATTTGTTTTGGACGCTAGAGTATTACATCCTGTGTCAGATGTTGCTGCTAACAATCAAAATAGAAAACCACTGTACTTATTTAAGGAGTAGGGTTAAGACTTTGGTTAATATCTGTACACTGGAACCAAGACCCATCACAACAGCTCAAAGGCACACAGATGTGGGGTCAGAATACATAACAAAAAATCATGGGCATTTGGAGTCACAATGTACACACATTGTTAATCCTGAGAACAGATGGCAGGGGCAACTGGACAGGCAGGCAGGTACTTAAATTGTTCTCTACTAAAATAAGCTACTCAGAACAGCCCCAAGAAACCAGGGCTAAAGTAGGACAGCTCACAGACCTCCTTTCAGGCACAGTAAAACTGGGATTGTGTACGTGGCAGCTACAGATGAAACATTCTGACGTTCAGTGACTCACTTTCCTCAAAACTACTTTGCTACAGAAAACTCTTGACTGCTGGGACTGCTCCCCAGTGAGTGTGGCACTGTCCCAACACTAAACATGGTGTGTCCATCTTACATGAAAATGGCATCAGACCAAAGCCACTCTCTTTTTCCTTTTTTTCATTTTATGGAGCTCACAGCATAGGGAGAAATGGGAATACCTCCAATTAACTTCGTTTGCATCTGTTTGATGGCTTAAACTCAAGACTTAAGCATCAGTTTTTTGTAAGGCTGGGAGAACACGGCTTCCAGGTGCCAAACATGCTGAGTACCCACATAAGCCAAGTAATCAAGGTGGAACGAATCCCTTACATTTCTGTGGCTGAGCTGTAAACCGAAGGCGCAAGGCTCATCATCTGTGACTCAAGCATGGCTAACAGCCTTTAGCATCTGCTGCAGTTTTAAATGTAACTTAAGTCATGGGAAAAAAGTTTCTCATGAGCCTTACCGATGTACAGCAGCCATTCCATTAATTCATAAAAAAAAAAATATTATGAATGTATCATTAAGTCAGGGTTCAGATTTTATAGCAAAGAGTATGTACAAGAGGTATTACAAAATGGAGGTTAATTCAATTAACACTGACAGGTAAATACTAAGGTATAAAAACAAATGATTGACTTGGAAATTCAACTTTATTTACAAATATTCTCCTATAAACAAAGATGGCACTCCACCCTTTAAAACACCATTACTTGATGATTTCCACAAAAACCACTTACATTGTTTTAACCTTTTTCATACAAGTGTATTATGGAATAAGCAAATAATCTCACAAGATGGTCTAAGGGATAAAAACAAAACAAACAGTTTATCCAGCATAAATCCTCTAATGAAGACTTAATCATACACCTTAACATGTTACTCTACCAGGAAATGGAAACATGGGATAGCTTTTCTGGAGGTCAATGCTTCACAATAAATATTATCTTCTTACACAGTACAGCTTAGTTGTGACTGTTTACAAGTGCTTTGCAGGCTAACACTTATGCCGACTTCAAGAAATATGTCGTCATTGTGAAAGGGCAGAGACTTTTCTACACTGGTTTTTCTACCAGTGAAAACATGGAGATGCTGATCAAATCTCATTATTCAGGCAAATTAATACATTAAACTGATGAACTTAAAACAGAAACATAATCATCAAACAATCATGTGACTCACTGACATACAAAGTTAGAATTCTCCTCAAAATCAGAAAGTATTCTTTTCCAATAGTTACCATAAATATGAATTTTTCTTAGCTGAAGCTACTATAGTCAAAACACGTATCCAAAACTTCAAAATAAAATGATCCAAATTTTTTATTTATCATTCTATATGTACTAAGTACTCTAAAAAACTCCTTTAAATTGTATCTCAGGGGATAGTCACTCTCACATCATAGTTAAATCATAAGGAACTTTAAAAATTTGAAAAGAAAAAATTCATCCCTGAGTAGTGAGAGTGAGAAGGATCTCTACAAACATAGATGGGACAGTCTTACACCCTTTAACAATCCTTACCACAGCATGGACTATTACACACAATCAGCTATCAAATGCATTTCACCTGGATAGTCACTGTCTTTGTTACATTAATCTGATCTTTTTGTAATGAAACTACAGTGCAACATTAAAAAAAAACAGATTTTGTTTTATTGTCAGCTTTACATTTTTGTCAAGTGCAAGGTTGGCCAGCAAAGGTATCTATTTTCCAATAATGACCGAAGTAGTAATAACTTCTGATAGCATCTCTTCTTCTGAGTCTCCATTCTTCTCATTGATCTTCATCCAAATAATAAAAGTAATACAATTACAATTGAGTTTACTATTATCAATGGCACTGCAAAAAAAAAAAAAAAAAAGTTTGTTAATATAAAGAAAATACCAGGAAAAGACAAGGTAACAGTTAATAGCATCTAAGAAGGATGGAAATACCTAACAATATATCATAATTATGTTGTAAATAGTTGCAAAAGAGGAATATTCAAACATGCACTGGGTCATAATAACCAAAATTTATTTTAAAAAACATACACGTGACTGGGAACAAGGGTCACACCTTGGCACAAGGAGCTCTGGTGGAACAGTGCCTAAGGCATTTGACCACTAACCAGGAAGCTGGCAGTTCAAACCCACCAGCCACTCTGTGGAAGGAAGATGGGGCAATCTACTTCCATAAAGATTCACCACCTTGGAAACCCAATGGGGGTTGCCATGAGTCGGAATCGACTCGATGGTACTGGGTTTGGTTTTAGTTTAGTGGCACAATGTGATCAATGCACAACAACAGATGGTGCTGGTATAGCCCTGGACATGGAAGCAGACGGTGCTGGGAGAAGCAGACCCACGTAGCTGCCAGTGACACTAAGACGGAAAAAGTGATGCAAAAAAGATTGTGCAGTTTCATTGCTAAATGATGAGTGTATTTATTATTCTATCCAAAATCATGTTTAACCAGAAAACGCCACTACCGTAGAGTCGATTCTGACCCATAGTGATCCTTTTGGACAGAAAAGAACTTCCCCATAGGGTTTCCAAGGCTGTAAATCATTACGAAGGAGACTGCCTCATCGTCCTCCTACAGGGCAACTGGTGGGTTCGAACTGCAAACCTTTTGGTTAGCAGCCAAATGCTTTTACCCCTATGTCACCAGAGTTCCTTGAATCATGATTAGATAGCTAATAAGTAAATAAAGACATGCCCTAATTTTAATGGTTTTAAATAAAAGGTTTTTGAGCTCTTTTTTCTTGACGTGCTCTGAGATGTTTCCTAGTAGAATGGCAGATCTGGGACTTTCATTTTTCTCTTGAAAGCCCCTTATGGCTCTAGATGACTTTACAACTTGTAGACGTTTCAAAGCAAAACACCATTCTTTCAACTCAGAAGTAATACACAGACTGTATCACTGAGCCTTTCACTTGCATCAACTAGTTTAGATAGAAATAAGAGTTCAGACAGCAATAAGAGAGAAACTGAGAGAGAACCCAGTAACTTTAAGGAATAAAGCAAGGTTAAAGAAAAAAATTCCCACTCTGTGCCTGGGATCTTAACAGCTTGCAAGCAGCCATCCTAGGTACAACTGGTCTCTATTTGCCTAAAGCAGCAGTGGGAGAAGAGGCAGGAATCAGAGAGGAACTGGAATTTGAGTCTAGTTGCCTCTGTAACAATTTCCTCCTTTGCTATGAGACCAGACCTAGATGGTGCCCAGCTACAATCACAGAGCGTTTTGATCAAAGTTTCTCTAGAAGAATTCAGATCAAAGAGGAGAAAACTGTGGAAAAGAATTATATATTCTCATGGACTCCAGACTTTCTGGAGCCAGAGGCTGGATGACCTCCCTGAAGTCACTGCCCTGAAATAATCTTTAAATCTTAAACCTTAAACTGAAAGTATCCTCCCTAAAGTCATCTTTGGACCAAACAACAATTTGGCTTAGCAAATAAAGAATGTCACCTTGAGCACCGTGACCTTTTAAAGAATTATCTATATGCGATCAAATTGACAACAGCAACTCGAAAGATGAGCTAAGAAGGTTAGTTGGTTTATCCTGATGGTGGTGAATCAGGGAATGGGCAGTGAGCATAGCTGCACAACTTGAAGAATGTTACCAGTGTAACTGAACTGTACATGCAGAAACGGGTGAATTGGTGTATGTTTGGCTTTGTGTATCTTCACCGAAAAATGAAAGGTTTGTGACAGTATGCACACTCCTGAAGCTTTGCTTCTCAAACCCAACAACAGAATCAGAACTTCAGAGTGCTCTGCAAGCTTTCTCACTTACCTCTCATCACAGTCCTTACAGATCGGATAAGGTTCATTAGCCGAGATTTAATTCCTGGCTCCTCTCCGAATCCGCCAATTCCCTGGTCTGTTCCCCAGCCAACTGCATAATATAAAGATGATTAGCTGTGTTGAAATTATGCACTTGCCTTGCTCCCTCATTAGTCATCTTTTAAAAGATTAGTTTGAGCCCTTATTAAGGACATCAAATATAAAATCATATGACTTCTAAGAAAGGTTAAACTAATAACATTCAGTTAAATGTTTTAGACTTTTTTTTTTTTCCCACTTCTGACAGAAGTAACAAACTCATTTCCTTCCATTTACAGACTTTGATTTTACAAAATCAACTACATTCAAAATTATCCAATGGCATTTAATTTAGTGAAGATAACGTCGTAACACCTGATTCTTTTTTCTCCTTTCTTTTTTATACTAAGAAACAAAATGTTTCTCAGGTCAGAACTGAAAACCACAGCACACTGTCAAGCTCATTAATTAAGTAGCTCAATTCAGAAGTTATAAGACACGATATAATTACTGGTATAAAAACACTGTAGCTAAGATTTTATCTATCTTTCTTGGTATAATTTTAACATAAACCTGGTTGCATTTTGCTTAGGCTTTCAACAGCATGTTCCTTCCTACTATCAGCAGGGCATTTTTTTTCCCTTTCTTTTCCTTTCTCTATTTGTAAGGTGAAGAATTATGTCCACTGTACTTTCACCACACTCATTCAATCTGTATGCTGAGCAAATAATCTGAGATGCTGGATTACATGGAGGAGAACGTGGCATCAGGATTGAAGGAAGGCTCATTAACAACCCGTGACATGCAGATGACACAACCTTGCTTGCTGAAAGCGAAGATGACTTGAGGCACTTACTGATAAAGATCAAAGACCAGTCTTCAGTATGGATTACATCTCAACATAAAGAAAACAAAAATCCTCAAAACACATCACAATAAATGGAGAAAAGACTAAAATCCCCAGGGATTTCATTTTACTTGGATCCACCCACAATCAACACCCATAGAAGCAGCAGTCAAGAAATCAGATGCTGTATTGCACTGGGCAAAACTGCTGCAGTGGATAAATCTGTTTAAAAAAAAAGACCTCTTTAAAGTGCTAACTTAGTTGAAAGACTAAGGTGTGTCTAACCCAAGCCATGGTAATTTCAATCGCCTCATATGCATGTGAAAGCTGGACAATGAATAAGACCAAAGAAGAGTTGATATCTTTGAACTGTAGTGTTGGAGAATATTGAAAATATTAAGGACTGTTAGAAGAATGAACAAATCTGTCCTAGAAGAAGTACAGCAAGAATGTTCCTTAGAAGTGAAAATGGCCAGACTTCATCTCACCTACTTTGGTCATGCTATCAAAAAGGACCAGTCCCTGCATAAAGACACCATGCTCAGTAAAAGCAGAGGGTCAGCAAAAAAGGGGAGACCCTCACTGAGACGGACTGACCCAGTGGCGGCAATGATGGGCTCAGGCACAGGAAGGATTGTGAGGCTGGGCAGTGTTTCATTCTGTTGTCCATATGAGTCAGAGCCTACTCGATGGCACCTAACAACAACAACAACAACAACACTCCTTATTCTCTGTAAATGAGTATTTACCTTCTTCTATACCATTTTCCTACAATATTATAAACCATTCTTTCTTAACCTTTATCTAAGTCTTTTTTATGCCTTATACATTTTTCTAAAGACTTAAATGTCCCCATTTGCGCAATCTGCCCTTTGCTTGACCTCATCTCAGGTCCACTTTTCACTATCTCATATAAGTATAGGATTTAATTAATTTCTCACATGCTAACCCCTTCAATCTGAGGACAGAGAACAAATCTTTAGTTTGTTTCATACAAACTAAGGATTTCTTTTGGTTGAAATAAAAGTTAAATAACAGTTACATATTTTGTCACATCACTACTGAGATATATTGCAGTAAAAAAACTAATTTAAAATTCAAGTTCTCAGCAAAGCTGATGTGTTTTGACACCTACTTGCCCTTCAAGGCCTAGCTCAAGTTCAGCTTACAGCTGTCTCAGTCCACAGGGGTCTCACTCTTTTCTGATCCTGTAGGACTACAGTCACAGTGGTTACTATCATAGTATTTACAACCTCTTGCCCAGACTCTTTCAACAGACACCTCTATAATCTTTCTGTCTCAACCCCTTGGGTTTTCACCTCAAAGGATGAGATCTTTCTACCTCAAAATCCTGTGACAGGTTCCTGCTTCTTACTGAATAAAGTTCAAACTCATAAAACCGAAATCACCTTATCTCCTGTCACACCTTCCAAGTATCTGTTACACCCATTCAATTATTCACTAATTTCTGTACATATTAAAGGGAGTTTTCTGAATTCAGGTCTGTTTGACTTCAGTATCAGGGGTGAAATTTCCCCCACATGTCATAATAAATCTTCTTCCCTGTGCTCCCCCAAACAAT